TGCAGCACCTTCTTCATCAAGCCTCTGCTGTTCTTCTTTCTTTTTCTGTTTCTTCTTTTCCAATTCAGAACGAATGGCTGCAGAAGTAGCCAGAGCCTTCTCCAGTCGTCTTTTTTTCTTTTCAGCCTGCTTGATACGATCCAGCTCATCCTTAACTTGCTTCTTCTTCACTTTTCTGACACCAGATGGCAATTTAGCACCTTCCATCTTATCCAAAGAAAACTAAAAACTGTAATTACTGAGCCTACTCGATATTATCTTCTCACTTTGTTTCTCCGTCAAGAAAACTCCCTACAATGTATAAATCATCTCTATAACTACTACTGGTCTATGCCTTCTGTATCCTATAAAACTTGAAATCCAAAGTCCAAACCAAAGTGATTCCAACCACTAGTATACCTTCACAGTTCTGATAGTCACTACTATACCTACACATACTCAGGTCTGAAAGAATACCTCATTTTGCGCACAGCACAATCCCAAACGGAAACAATAGGAGATAGCATAAGAGAAAATTGGTAAGAACTTGCAGACCTATCCCTTGCCATTCTTCCCAATTTCCCACAGCCTTTGCACTTACCCATCCTGTAAGCGAGGAAGAAATAAAGTGTGCAATCGAACAAACCCACTGCTCCTGTTTGAAGCTAACAAGTTACATGGCCTTCCCTCCTGCAGCATAATTAACAGAGTCAATATACAAGTTGCTTAGCCCTCAATTTCACATTAAGTAGGATGGAAAAAGAACATTAAAACTCCAAGCGCTCACCCCAACCAAGTATAGTACATAAAATGTGTGGCCCCTGACTATTCACTTAAAACAGCCAAGGATGATAAATCAAGTTTCACAACAGGCTTTTCTATAGGCCTTGGAAGGGGTCAGATCTACCAATACAATCAATAACAACAAAATCTACAGATCACAAATCAACTAAAGGAATAGCACGTATGAAGATTTGTAACTCCTAAACCTTTGAGGCCGGAGATAAAACTTGTAACCAGACTGATAACATCAAGAACTTTGGATAAAAATCCATAACCTTTTTACTGCATTTAACGGGTTTTAGGCACAGAAATATAAATATTAAAACACAAAGTCAATCACTCTCCAACTCCATCTCAGTCCGAGCAACGATAAGAACAAGATTTTATTTCATTACCACAAATCTCCAGTCAAAATATATCCAATCCCAAACTTACCCTCCATGAGAAACAATTTATCAGTTCAAGACGATGCCAACGGATTAACCAATATAAATAGAGTTTTATTTCGATTATGTTGATCGATTAAAAATAATATGCGCAAAAACAGAATCTCACAGCAACTGCAGATCCCAAATTCTTTCAATCCCAATCATTATTTCATAGTAAAACCCCAGATCGGTTGATAATAAATCTACAGAACAGTAGGTAATTCAATTCTACCACATCCTCCCAAATCCAACAAACACACAGAGTGGAGAAAATAAGACACGAAAGAGGAATTAGTCGATTGAGCGAACAAAACCCGCCAATTATACAAACTGAATCACGCTTATGCATTTATAAGCATCAGATCGAAAAAAACCACAAAGGAAAATACCAAATAATTCCCCGGGGGGGGGGGGAGAAGGAAAAAAAATACAAACCTGATATTGACGAGGAAAGATGAGAAGGCCCCAGAAGCAATTATCTTAGGCAATCAAGTCCAAATTGCTATTGAAGGAAGTGAAAGTTTCAGGGGTTCACCATTTTTCTTGGGTTGGTTGATTGGATCCGTGGGAACAATTTACTCCTAAAAACTTCTCTATTTCTAAATTCCTATAGCAGTAGTAGAGAGGAGGAGGAGGACTAGACCCCCAGGGGGGACGATTTAATAAAAAGAAAGAAAGATAAAGAAACAGATTGAGAGTACTAAAAACTGATCACATGAGATGAGATTGCCGGTTGGGGGAGGAGACGGGGAAGAGTAGGAGAAGGAAGGGTAGAATCGTCTCAAAGATAATTGGTGGGGACACGTGGCAAAAGGATGAGGGGTGGATCTAGAATTTCCGACCTTTCTTGTGAGGACTCCTCATTACTTCGCTGGTCTATCCATGACACTTGGAACTCCGAAGATGGATAGATGGATAGAATTGAGAAGAAAGAGTGGGGTTGTGTGGGGGCCCATCAGAAGAGACTCACAGCCGTCGGATGATGTTGAAATTTGTTTAACGGTCAAGATGAGAAATCGAATGCGGGGTTGGTTGTGATTTGGATCCATATCTACGTCAGCGACTCGGCATTAGCCGCGTCATCCATGGACTTTGGTGATGAGGAGAAACCCCGTTAGGCAACGGAAAATAACTGGGCCAACTCGCCCATCATATGAACTGTTGGGCTGAAGACTCACCACCCAAAGCTATTTGAACACCCACATAAAGGGTAAGACCAGGCATCGAGGCCATTTAGATGAGCTTCAATTCAAAGGCTAACCATTAAATCAAGGGTTAGTTATAACTTATATCCACCTCCCTTGTGGTTTGGCTAAATTACGAGCAGACCTCTCAATGTTTGAAAAATAAATAACAGTTATCCCCTTTGACTAACCACCGGCTTTTTGGCTCGTGACCACCACCAATGCCGTAAGGTTTTTGCGTAGTGCACCCGTCTGATTCGATAGTGATGATTCAGTCCCTTCCGAATTATTCCAATACCTTTTCAACTGTACTGAAGTTAAGGATGATTGATGTGAAATTTAAAAATAGTTGATCGAAGAAAGATAATCGAGAAAGACAAAACAAGAGAGAGAGAGACCTCGAAATAAAAAAAGCTTCACAATAAAAAAAATATATAAGGGAAAAGAAATGGCCTTGAACAGTAGTCCCCAAGCTCCAACAACAAGCAAGGTTATTTCAAGTAAAAGCCCTAGCTTCCAACCAATTTATTGTTTTTTTTGGGCAATTCAAGATCAACCTTATGTAACTCTTCCCAACAGTGCCTCCAATGACAGGCATTTTTTCCTTCAAATAAAAAAATCACAGGCATTTTGCCGATACGAAGTATAAGCCATAAAAATAATTGCATATATATATATAGCAATCATGATGTCAAGATCGAGTCTGGGTCTTTAAATCTGGGGCGTCTAAAAAGATGAATTTCTCTGTATTGCATTTGCCAATTGGAAAAAAATTCAATTGAATTATTTGTCAAAATTCGTTTGTTTGCGTCATCAACATATTTTTTAATTATTTTTTTATTTCATATATATCACACTAAAAAAATACTATAATCTTCCTATTTTCGGATTAAATATAAGATTTGAAAGGACACCTTAAAAGGAGTTGGTGATGGCCTTAGTAGCAAATGATTCACACGTTAACGAACCAACTGCTACCTTTTTAGAGGGAACAAAATAAATGCAGTAAATTTCTGTTTCCGATCGCAGCCCTTCTGGCCTTTGTGCAGTTTCCCACTATGTAACATGTTCTTCTTCTTTTCTTCTACCTCTATTCATTTCTGGCCATTAAAACTCTCTCTCTCTCTCAGAAGCAACCATCAAAACCAAAATGGTATCTCTACAGCCGCCGCTAACAAACTCCAACACTCTATTCTACTCCACTCTGACCCCTCCCAACCCATTTCATTATTTTCCCAACCTCTACCCTAAAACCCTAAATCCCCCTCCCCCGCCACTAAAGCCACCCCACTCCCTCCCAAAAATCCAATCCATCCTCCAATATAACCGCAAGCCCCAGCTCGCCGGCGACACCCCACGAGTCGTCGTCATCACCTCTGGTAAAGGAGGAGTCGGCAAGACCACCACTACCGCCAATGTTGGCCTTTCACTTGCCCGCCTCGGCTTCTCTGTTGTGGCCATTGACGCCGACGTCGGCCTCCGCAACCTCGACCTCCTCCTCGGCCTCGAAAACCGCGTTAATTACACCGTCGTCGAGGTCCTCAACGGCGATTGCCGCCTCGACCAAGCCTTGGTGAGAGACAAGCGCTGGTCCAACTTTGAACTCCTCTGCATTTCCAAACCCAGATCCAAATTGCCCCTTGGCTTCGGCGGCAAAGCCCTCATTTGGCTGGTCGATGCCTTGAAGGATCGCGAGGAAGGCGTCCCGGATTTTATCCTCATCGACTGCCCAGCTGGCATTGATGCCGGGTTCATTACGGCCATTACCCCTGCGAACGAGGCAGTTTTAGTGACCACCCCCGATATTACTAGCCTTCGGGATGCCGATAGGGTGACTGGGCTGCTGGAATGCGACGGAATAAGGGATATTAAGATGATTGTGAACCGGGTTCGAACGGATATGATCAAGGGGGAGGATATGATGTCGGTATTGGATGTGCAGGAGATGCTGGGATTGGCATTATTAGGGGTGATTCCGGAGGACTCGGAGGTGATTAGAAGCACTAATAGAGGGTACCCGTTGGTGCTGAACAAACCGCCCACGTTGGCTGGGCTGGCTTTTGAGCAGGCGGCGTGGAGGTTGGTCGAGCAGGATAGCATGAAAGCTGTTATGGTGGAGGAGGAGCCCAAGAAACGCGGTTGGTTCTCATTTTTCGGAGGCTAGAAACTGCAAAAACTTCTGGCATTTGTGAGTAGAAATGAGTTAGGGGTGGTTCTTTTGGGAAGACAACACGAGGTTGATTTTTGTACTTTGTTAGCAGATTTTGACAGGGAGATGAATTTTCTCATAATGTGTATAGTTCTTTTAGGGAAAGCTTCTGCAGTTGTTTTCACGACGAAAATTGGAATTTGGGTGATCAGTCCAAATGCATTTGTATTGCGATAACCTCCAGAAATGCTTACAAGTTTTTTGTGCATCAGGCCATAAATCAGGCTGGAATTCAAGACTTGTAGATCATGAAAGGGAAAAAAAAAAAAGGAAGTAATCTTGAGTCGATTAAGGAGGTTGCTTATTTCTTACTGTTATCAAGCCTGTCGTGGACATTTTTAAGCCGGTCCTCATCACGATGGCGGTCGAGATGTTTCTGCAAGCACTGTCAGAGTGTTAAACCATAAATTCGTGTACTTTGCAATCAAAACTAGAGAACCTCTGAAATTGAGCCCAATCACAAATTTACCTTAGAAGTACTAATTACACACAAGCGTCAAGTAATAGCGTGAATTATTGTACATCTACATAAATTATCCTAGCACTTATGGCTATAAACATGTAAATGCCTGTTTTTGGCCCCTTCTATCTTTTTTGCGGCCAATGTGCACTTTACTTGGGCAAAGAAGGCGGATAAACCTGTAGTCTCGATGAGCTGGAAAACTGGAAACCATAATGTTCCATGGCCTTCCTTTATCCTTAAATTAATTTCTGCTTGAAAAGTTTTTCTTTTCAACTGCAGAATCGTTCCCAGTGATCTTTGCACTTGGTTCTGTTGATGCTATCATCCGGCCTCTCCACCTAGGAAACTGACTTCCTTGCGAACTCATCCGCTTGCCATAGGTGACATATTGCGCTGCCGTATCTTGCAATTGCAGTTGCCAAGAATCACTTTTTTTCCAAAAAAAAATCTCTTTTGTCGCATTCTCTTCCAAAGCGCGCGCATATTCCATCATCATTTGCTTAATCGTTACAGCTCGTGGAGCAGTTTTCGGCCCACTGCAGCAACATCTCCTATCCATATAAACAACTTCCTCAATAATAGCAGATTGACAGAAGTTAAAATTTTCTCTGTTTTTGTCCCTAAAACTGTAACTCCTCACACAAATTTTGCAGACCTGCTCCTAATGTCAGGATAACTACATCACGATCAGGATCAGCGTTTATTGAGACCAGCAACCTCTTGACCACATCTGTCTGGCAAAGAACCATAGAGACGTAAAAGATATCAAGCGGAAACTTGAGAAGAAGACAAAGCATATATGTACATACTGAGGCTAAAATTTAGAGTTTGTAAATCCTGATGATAATATTTGGCACTTGACCGTCAATAGATAGAGGGTCAATTTAGAGAGAGAACCCTAGCAGAAGCTTTTATTAGATATTAAAGTTTTTGGCAACAATGCTTACATGACAATATGGCCTTACAAGGTTCCACCAGTTTTTCCCTGATTTCCTGTACTGGTTTGTGGAAGGTATTGTCATGAAAGAATAAATTTCATCTCACCAGGGAAAGGATGAATTCAGCTGATAAACCAACAATTGACGCTGCCAGATCTCTACCAGTAACATTCCAAAGATTGGACCTTGGTTTCTCAGGCTGCATATATCTTGGTATCATAGGTAAAGGAATTAATGACCTTCAAAGTTGGAAGCTTGAAAAGATAATTTGCACCGTCAAATTCATACCTTGACATATGTAAAATAATATCACCAAACTCGAACCAAGCAACTAAATGTACGGGAACAAATTTGGCCACAACAGAAGAGTATGAACACCCGACCATAACAAGTCTAGTAACCTTTCAACACACACCATGACATTCATATCAATCACTCAGCGTAGTTTTGCAGTGATTTTTCCTTTGAGAATACAGATACCGATTGTTGGCCAACTAAAGATCTCATGTTGCCATTGGACATGATTAAATATGCATGCACTTAATATATGAAGATATATATTCTTTACTTGATGCGTTTAAATGTTTTGACTCACCGCAAGTGAATTAAGAACATTGTGAACTCCTGGTACTTTGTAGGCTGATGTCTGCAACAGGACGCCCTCTGCAACAGGTCAGACTATAGTTTCTTAAGCACTTGGAAAAGCCATCTCGCTGTAGAATTTGGTCAAATCATTTAGCAATCAAATTTGAACTTGAGAAAGTAAGATACTAACTGGAAGTGCACATTCCTAAGACAATGGCTTGTATGCTCATGGCCCATATATTGCTTGTCATGTGGTAAGTTATCAATTCATTCGCTTCCATTGTGCAAGTGCAAGTATACATCACATAAATCCATGTGATTACAGTTTTACACGAAGAAACTAAAGTAAACATCCTTCACAATTCAACAATGATTCCTGAAACTCAATCAGATGTGTTTTAACTTGAGTTACATTCCTACTTTGTAAGCAAGACGTAAATCACATAAATCCATGCGATTACCAGTTTTACACGAAGAAAATAAAGTAAATGTGCTTTACAATTCAACAAAGATTCCTGAAACTCAAAATCAGACGTGTTTTAACTTGAGTTACATTCCTACTGCATCAGACGAAGTCTTGTAAGCAAGACATTAACCTACCAGTTTATAATCACTTCCCCCATGTGCATTTGAACATACAGATGATGCATGCCACTCATTTAACTTTGAAATACCATAAGTTGTAGTACTGTAGCTCTCGCTGAATAGCTCTAAATTATGGCTAAGTTTGACTTCATCTGAAGCATTCAGTATTCTTGCTCCCTGTCTGTCGCTAAGCAAAGAATATGCACCTGAACCGTTATTATTGGAGTTCATTGCAAATCCTTGTCAAATTTGTAACAAAAGTGATCATGTGAGCATAAAAATAGCAACTCTGTCACCTCATAGAAATTTGTCTTGACCAAGAAAGGAACACAACATAGCAGGATTTAAACATAGGATTTAGCATGTTTCTACCAAATTATGATTTGTGCATGGGATTTAAACAGCTCTTGAAGTACATAATATAGAAATTAAAACTTCAAGACATAGCAGGATCTTCACCAAGAAAAGAAATTTGTGAGAAGAAAAGTTGCATATTTGCATAATATTGCTGATCAAGCAAAGGCCATTGCAGATGGGATCAAATTTGATGCATGAACAAAAATTAAAAGATAGCAAAATTTACCTATCTCCACATAAAATGAGATGCCCGCCGCTCCTTACTTACTTAGGAATCTCCTAAAAATTGTCCTGACCAACTTCTGATCGAAAACAAGAAGTACTTTTATCAGATCAAAGATGAGTAAGAAAATCCAATAGTATGCATTTGTGCAAGAATTAAACCTCATCAGGGAATATATCAACATGCTCCCAGTCAACATTTGTTACTACAGTGATATGAGGAGCAAATCCCAGGAAGCAACCATTATATTCATCAGCCTGTACAATGATCAGCACTGAGATTCAGTAGCTCAGCAATAAGGGGAGTATAGAAGAAGTAAAGCCCTAAAAGCCATAAGAAATTCCCTAAATGAGATCAACATAGATAAGATGATATCTTTTTGGTTTCTTTCCAAAAACCACAGTGTTTTTACACCTAAAAAAAGTGAGAAAGTTTCTTCAAACAAAAGACACGAACTTCACTATTGCAACTTTTTCAGTAATTACCAGACATATCCTTTGTTGATCTAGTGTAGTAAAATGTGCAGTACCTCTAAGATGAAATTCAGACCGCTCCCATGAATCACATTCTCTCCAGCGAACTGTAAAATGTAATATCATTTTTTCTAAGATCAGGAATTTAATTAGATTGATATAAATTATGCTACCACTTTGTTAGTAATTCCCTGCAAACATTAGCATGAGCCAAAATAGAGAAAAATGAATGGAGACTGCTTATGAAGTGGGAAGCTTATGAATAGTAAAAGCAAAGGTCACAATAATTCAAATGATATAAAATTATACAAGAAAGTAATACCCGCGGCACCTGGGCACCAATGACAGCTGTAAGATCATCTCCCATCGCTTTTAAAATGTAAGCGATCATGCTTGTTGTTGTACTGGGAGCAAACATAGAGTAAACTCTAGTAGCAGCCTATCTTGTTAAAAGACGTTAAGCCAATAAATGCAAGGGTAGGAAGATCAAGAAAATGCTACTATCACCAAGGTCTCAAAACCATCAAAATAAGCAATCAACTGGATTATTATTACCTAGTACATCAGTCCCAGCTCACTACACAAGGCACAGTTACATTCTTGGACTTGATATGGTATTTGTAACTTATCACATGCATTATCCTCCATATTTGACATCAATGCATAAGTTGCTGTGCTGCATCCTTTATGTTTGTCATCATGTGCATTATCCTTTGTATTATTTGCAATTAGAAGTTTTTGAATACGAGGCGTGCTACTGTATGAAATAATGCAAATGAAATAACGCATTAACTATATGTACTTCATGGGAAACCGAAAAAAAATGTGATCAACATCTGAAATCTTAACCACAGCATTATTCACCATGACTCCCAGAGACAGCTATGAGATTGTACGCCTCTGTTAGCTTTCCCTACCAATCACCTTGCTTAAGTCTGCAAAACATGAAAAGTTTCTCACCTACCTTAAGATGAGTGTGAATACCAAACCCGAATCCAGTTTGATGGAAATATCAATAATAATGTACTTACACTGGAATCCCAGCTGACTTGGCATGTACAATCTCTACGTTGTCTGGAGGAATGGCACTCAACACAACAACAGCATCAGGCAAGGTACTCTTTTTTTTTTTTTTCTGGAAACGTTAAGATTTTAAATTGATTAACCAAAGTAATTTTACAAATAAGCTATACATCGTGTACAAAGACACTAACGAAACCATTGTTCCTCATCCAATGGAATGCTTGCAGCATCTATATATTCGTTCATCTGGGAGCAGATAAAATGGGCATTGCATAAACATTGAGCTTAGGCTATTGATCTCCTCCACCTGAGCAAACTATCTGATATCTTTAGCTCTTCCTGACTTTAGTTTTCTTAGCAACTGTTGGTCAGTGATTCCAACTCTTATGTGGGACCAGTGTTGTGCTCTTGCTTTCACCATTGCCAGTTTCATTGCTTCTGCATAATCAAGTAGGCAATGTCCAGCACTCCTCTCTCATGGCCCATACAGCTTTCTCCTGACAGTTGCTATCAGCTGCAACCACTCCAATCCCTACTACCTGCCCTTCATGCACTCCCCTTCACTTTTGTTTAGTCCTGGCTCGTCTATAGCTCCAGCAGTTTCTGAAATGCTCATTCTCCTGTTCCTCTCTACAGCCTCCGAGTGTTCCATCCATTCTTGCAGTGCCTTCTGTACCACTTGTAACGCTTGTCTTTCCTCTGCCTCAAACACTCTTTCATTCCTTGTTTTCCACAGCTGCCACAGGATATTGACCGTTAGTCCAATATGGTTCATCCCTTCCTGTCTACATCTTGCTCCTACTAAAGCAATCCACCACCTCTTAAAACTGCCTCTTTAATCAGCTATCCCATCCCATTGTACTGGTGATATATTCCACGCTTCTTCTGCTTTCTTGCAGTGGAACAAAAGGTGTTCCACAGTTTCTACTTCTTCTCCACAGCCTGTACATATGGGATCTCCAACCTTTGTTCTGTCAAAGATTAGCTCTTTAACTGGTATTGCATTATTCATGCATTTCCAGATAAACAACTTTAGTTTTTGTTGGACATTCAATTTCCATATCTGCTTCCACAACTGCTATCAGGCAAGGTACTCACTCAAGCTACCAGAATTTCCAAAATTTAGTTCAGAATGACCCACAAATAAATGAGCACCGGCTTCCTGTAGTGCAGCCATGTAGCTATTCCATACCATGGTTCAAAGTCGCGGTCGCGGTCGCGGTCGCGGTCGCGGCCCGGAACGTTCCATATCGGTCTTGGCATATCGGTCGCGGTCTCAGTGAGATACAAATTTTAAAGTATTTAATATTCTAAAAATTATTAATAATATAAAAAAGTATGCTAAATAAAAATAATTAAAAAATAGCAAAAGAAACGGCCAAGTCAATCCGTCACGGTGTGACTCGGCTGATTTCTCATTTTGACTCGAGATAACTCGGTGTAACTCGGCCGAGTCAATCCGTCACGGTGACGACTCGGCCAATTTCTCGGCGAGTCAAGTATTTTGGTATCGTTTCGTCACGGTATCGTATCGGTAGAGGCCGAGACGGTGATGATCCGGCCGAGTCGTCTCAGTCGGTCTCGACCGAGACTTCGAACCACGTTCCATACAATATCCGAACCACTGACCTCATAACCCTGTAAAGGTTGCAACTTTGTTTATACATTCTACCCACAAACTCAAAAACTCCAGCTTTAAATAACAAGAAGAATGGTCAACCTAAATAAGGTGAGCCGGAAACCTTCATGAATTAATTAAAAGATGAGCTTCTGAGAAAAGATGAAAAACAGGTTTATGTCATGCTTGCAAGTAGCGTTTTTTTTTTGGGGGGGTGTGTCAGGACTTAGGAGTTGAGGAGAGGAGCATGTAGTAGTTAGTTGCTTGAGGGCAAGCAATGCAAGACCAGACATCCCACAACCTCCAACACCCACGAAGTGAATCCAACCCTTGTCTTCTTTAGCATTGAATTTTCCAGGATGATTACAGCTCGATTGAGCTGCCGTTGCAGAGACAAACACTCCATTGGGCTTAACGGTACTATAGCTAGTCGAGGGCAAGGTAGGTGTCCAACTGTTGTTTTTGGTCTCTTGGAATCGCTCAAGATTGGCTTTCCCGCCAGATGTTGGGAGAAAGTGGTGTTTGAGGTTCCGGGGATGGTTTGTCGGAGAAATGAACCGCGATCTCACCGCCACCGCCGCTGATTTCATTTCTCTGCGGACAGCCGGACATTGGTTCTATTCTTTGACCGACTACGACCATCTCCATTCGGTCGGCTTTGTTTTGTTTAAGTTTGACTCAATTTCTAAAGCCCATTTTAGCAAATTAGATGCGGATTGAGACCTCAGAATTTACAGGCCGTGGTTCAAATCCCTTTCCCCTCTCCGCCTTTTCTCCCTCCCTATTTCTTAGCGGCCTCAGAATTTACAGGCCATAGTTCAAATCCCTTTTCTCCTCTTCGCTTTTTCTCTCTGCCTATTTCTTATATCTAATCCGTCTCTTGATTTTTATTTTTTTTTTTTTTTGAGAAAAAGGATTGCAGGTTTTCTTCGCAAACGAATCTTTTAAAAAAAAATTTGCGGCTTAAAAACAGGTGATCTCGAGTTGTTGAGGACCTTCAGCACACTGGTGAAGACAATTCTTTCGGGCTTTTACAAAGTCCCAATAGCCTAAAAATGGTAGGCCTAGTTCAGGAGAGAACACAACTTTAAGCATTGGCCGACAGATGCAGTTGAAGACTCCAATTGTACTTGAGAGGCCCATTCTCCCTGGGAATCCTATTTCCTTATACTCCCTCCGTCCCACTTTGATAGTCATGTTTCTTTTTTCACACAATTTAAAAAAAAATAGTTAATTTTATTAGAAAAGTAAATTTAGATTGCTATTTTCCTAAAATACCCTCACATTAAATATGGTACAACTTTATGGGAACTTGAATTGATGGTAAAAAAAAAATCAACTCTCATTAAATGGGATAGGTTTATAGTAACAACTACTTACATTGAATAAGAGTATTTTAGAAAAATTAAAATACAACTACACTTTTCAATTGAAAAGTGGACTATAATTTGGGACAGTACAATTTAAAAAAAAATAGTTAATTTTATTAGAAAAGTAAATTTAGATTGCTATTTTCCTAAAATACCCTCACATTAAATATGGTACAACTTTATGGGAACTTGAATTGATGGTAAAAAAAAAATCAACTCTCATTAAATGGGATAGGTTTATAGTAACAACTACTTACATTGAATAAGAGTATTTTAGAAAAATTAAAATACAACTACACTTTTCAATTGAAAAGTGGACTATAATTTGGGACAGATGAAAAAGAAATACAAGACTATCAAAGTGGGACGGAGGGAGTACTATATTAGAATGAGTTGTGGTCAAAGAGGGTTTGAATTTCAACCGCATGGATAGGGGTTTTTTGGGAATGCGGAATATTGTATAGTTTTTGTTTAAGTTTTTGTAGGGGTGGC